GGACTGACATCGGATTCACTCTGTACAATGCAGGTACATAATCTGGCGTCCCAGATTGCTTCACGGAGTATCCGCAACTGTCTTCGTTGGCAGCAGAACTGTGGACTCCCTGCTGCCCCGTGCCTCTGAAAGATTCAAGAGATTAGTGTGTCCTCACCATTTCCCTTAGCTTGGAATCAGGGTGTACACACACACACACACTAGTCAGCCATGGGACCGGCGAGCCGAAGCCGCGGGCCTCGCGCGAGGTACACGCTTTCAAAGACTTGGGGGCGATCCCGCTGCTGACAGAGTCGTGTCAAGGGTCTCCCGTGTGCCTTCAGTACTGCCATCAGCTGACAACAAAAAATTGAAGAGTCAGAAAGCAGGGAAGGCTGAGTATTACACAAATCTGTGGACTTTCAAGCTGGAACCCGGTGGAGTCAGTTGCAACAAGACCCGCGGCTCGCAGCCATACCCCAAGACAGCTTGGTCAGGCTAGATTAAATACAGGATCGCCCGGCTCACGAGAGAATGCGTTGCCATAAATCCGGTGGATCAGCAACCCGGCTCCATCCTGACACCTACGGCTTTGTGATATAAGCAATCGCGAACATCCATTGGGTGAAACTGCCAATGCTCCTTGCGCTCGCCTTCCACAGCTGCACGAGACACTGCCCATCGCTAGTGTCCGCAAGAAGCTGTGCCAAGGATTGAAGAAGAGCACCTGATCTACGGCAGGGCTTCTCGACTCCCACTTGTTCGATGTCAATGCTCGGCAGGGGTCGTTACCAGTCTGTTCGGATTCAGAAATGTCGAGTGCACCCGGTCCAACAGACTGAAGTATCCCCTGTCTCTTAGCTTCCAGTTTACCGGCTGGTCAGATATGCCGATTGGAGTTCGGCACGCGAAGGAAGCTGCAATCGCTCTGCTGCACAGCCGAGGTGGTTGATCCTTTGCTCGTGGTGGGAATACCCGCTTCGATCACTTCTCCCGCCGGCACCCTGCCCATGTCCGGTGTGCCCGCCAGCGTCAATGACAAACTCAGGATATGAAGGCCCACAGAAGCCGCTGCGATGAACCGACGTGAAAGAGTCAAGGCACCCCATGCCCGCTCACAAATCATGATGTCGTCGAAGGCCTCCTTGCAAAGAAGCGCAGGTACAAGCACAAGCAGCCTACCTACCCAGTTGCAGGCCGGAAGTGAGTTACGCAAATTTCTTGGCAAACTCAGGCTTCAGTTCCTATTACTGATCTAGCAAGAGAAGGGGCCGACTGCCGAGTACTGCTGGTTGGTCGTGTGGAACCTGCAAGAACACCACATCGCCTTGAGCCCCGAGGAATCTCCTCCAGAAGGAACTGCTCCATGGACGCTGCGTCGCGCTCTTAAGAGAAGTCCAATCTGCTGAAGCCTCATGACAATGCCAGAAAAATCCTTCATGCGCCATTCCATGTCCGCCGCGCTCATCCGTAAGAAACCTCGGCTCTTTGTGAACATGCCATGCCGTGCGGTCACCACAGCTCCGCTCACTCTCGGCCGGAGCCTAGTTTTGTGTCAGTTTGCACCTGGGTTTTTTTGTGCTGCGGTGTGGTGGAGCAACTCCGGACGGGTCAGGGCCGCTCTCTGCTCTCTGATCAATTTTTGAAGGAAGCACCATGCCCTGCGACACCTGCTGATGCTAAGACATAGGAGCATTGATTCTGATGTACCAAGACGAGTTCGTGCTTAGTGCGATAAGCAGAGGCCGAAGAATCCCAAGAAACCGGAAGCGCAGCTCCGACACTCTCCACCACCGGAGCCGTACTGCCCTCTGCAAGCCCCACGAGGGCACATCCAGCACCGCAGAGCGCGACCTGGCTTCCAAGGCAAAGGCTGAAGTTGCAACTGTTGCTGCGCGAGGTTCAAGCTTTCGTCGGGATTGACGAAGTATGGAGCGAGGGCGTTTGGTACATGTAGTAAATCGGGGCATCACCGGGTTCTGGGCCTCATCTCGCATGTCCACTCCACACATGTCAAGATCGCATGGGAAGCACAATTCAGCTCAGAAAAAGCCGCTCTGCCTGAAGCCAGAACTTCATGAGCTTGAAAGCGCCGTTCCTTGTAGGCAGCTTCTGTGCTTCTCGGTCTCGGAATGCCGTAGCTTCGGTTTCTGATGGCACTGAATCTGATGAGAATACAAAGTCAGAAGTCTTGTGTCAGCACGGGAGCTGATTTACACGGACTGGGTCGAATCTGAGGGCTCGTCTGATCCAGCAGAGGGATTTGCAGTAGACGTCAGGCTTCAGTATCTATAAACCATAGATCCAAGCTTGTGAGGCAGTGCTGGTTTGGCCAAGCGGTTCTCCACTGCGGCCGAAACAAATGCATGTACCCACATGCTGTATGCGGACGGGCTTCAACCCATTCAGGTGTGTCGTCTTCTTGATCTCCACGTATGACGACAGAGGCATTGTTAAATCCGATTTCATGCCGGCTCCCTGCACATCCTGACCTCATGGTTTCTCTTCTGTTCCGAGCTTGCATACCCAAAATAATTAGCACCTGGAAGTACGCGCTGCCAGAGATATCGCAATGCAGTTGCTCGGAAAATCAACTTCATGGGCAAGCTCCCACAATCTACGATGCCGAGCATCTCCAAATGTTGCACTCAGCTCCGTCGTCTCTAGTGAAGGCTGTTCTCAATGAGTATCCTCCAATCAGTGTTCCGTCGACAAGCTTTATCCTGTATTCCGCCGCCTGACACCCAACCAGCATCGAATGACCTGGTCTAGCTACTGAGTGGTAATTGCTACACAAAGCGACTGTCACTTGGCCAACATCCTGCTTGTGCCGGGAAAAGTCCTGCTTGCTGGTAGTCTCCGTCACCGAACAGCGGGTCCCGGGCTTCCGCCTGCGGCAGCTAAGGGGGCGAGCCCGCAGCTTCGCAGCTTGCGGTACAAGTAGATTCAGACAGCTCGGCAGAGGCTGATGCCAGGTTCGAGGCTTGTGGGGGGTTGCAAGTTTGGCGGGACCCTTCATGTGCAACACTCAGAAAGTCCACTGGTACCGCGTGCCTTCACACGGCTCCGTATTTCAGAAACGTCTTATGCAGTGTCAACGTGGGAGCGGGTGGGCTGGCAACGGCTTGGATTTGACTAGGATGACATAAGAAAGTTCTCGCTGGTCCGTCAAGTGAAAGACTGCCTCGAACCCCACGAGCCCAACTCCATGAAGGCGACAGCCTGCGCCACCGAGGTGTCGAAGGCATCCGGTGCCGCCGCATAGATGACCTCCGATCTCTACAATATCCTACACTGGTCCTACACGTCACAGGCCTGACTTCGCTTCGGCCTGGAGCTTGTCAAGGCTTCTGGCTGTTTCGTTTCTTCCGTGCTACCAATTGATGCCTCGGGACCTTGCCTCTTGGACTGGGCCGTGGTTCAGTGCCGGAGCTTCGGCATGTGGGACTTTGCTTCACTGCCTTCCCAGCATCACGAAAGCGAGTCCTGTGCACACTGACATCCCTGAAATAGCTCCAGTGACCGCTGTTGACGAACCTTGCCTCCAGGGACCATCTCCGATTCAAGCGTCAAGTCCACATCTTGTACCATCCTATGCCCCAAACCGAAAGCAGCCGCCCTGACCTGCCAGCTTACAATGTAAATGTCACGAAGGAAGCGAAGCGATCGGGTTCTAGGGCTTACGATTCCTCCTGGCTTCCTCGCATTCGGGCAGGCCGCCTGCTGTCCGGAAGGAAGCTCGAGCGCCATCAAAATCTTCTCCTCCTGTCCGTTAAAGAATCGATTGTGATCCTATTCCTCGATTCCGTGCGAGAAGGAGAAACTAAGACCTGAGCCATGCCTGCAGGCTCCAGACAACTTCACATAGAATTGGAACTAGCGAAGCCGGTAATGCTGAATTAACTTCGTTGATTTGTGGGGCATCGTGCATTGTGGATACTCTCCTGCGTCTCGGGCTTACGTCAAGCGACAAGTAAGGCAATCGATCTGTCCTCTACCTCCGAGTACTCTACCAGGGCGCCTTCCAGGTGTTTGCCCTGGCTCACTGGATGAGAAGCATTGGGAAAGGCGCCAAGTCTTCCCTTCCTTCGGTCCTTCATGTTCGTTCTGTGGAGGTCGTCCCAAGTTGGACAAGGGGTGTCCATGCAAGGAGGTCCTAAAGAAAACGGCACGCGAGGAGACAGTCGGAATTTCCGCCCCTGCAGACCTGTTGCAAAAAAATTGCGCGTTTTTGCCTTCAAGATCCTTCAAATACCGAGGGTTCCATGATTGTCACGTTCCTGTGCAAAAAATAACACATTGGGACCCTTGTAGGAGGCCGAAGAGGACGTTGCTTGCAGGTTCCAGACCCTGCTTGGTTCAGAGCTACCCAGCTGCAAATCAATCCAGAGCACCTTACACCAGACCAGATTCCCTGAGTCTACAAGTCAACACAGACTGCCCTGCAATCCCCGAAAGCACATGGCACATCATGAAGAAGCGATTTCAACCCTGTCTAGAGGATCCTTACAAAGTCAACATACCGCGCAACAGCCTGCAGCGAATGTACCATGCAGCACACCTGGCGCATGGCGTCGTGGTTGTCCGATTCAAAATCCTGCCAGGCTCGGGGCCAGCAAGAGTTCGGGACGATTGGCAATCTTGCTGGTATCTACGGGATATCTTTGAGTAGGTAAACATGCAGAATGAGCTCACTTTGTGTGCCTGATGAGCATACTATTTGTAGCGCTGATCTCATAATACATTATTGTGACATGAAACTTGTGAACATGACTTGCCAAGCGAGCATCGCCTGCGGTGCCTGTCCGACGTACCTCGGCATCTGGAACTGAATTGACCCACTTTACATCGAAATCGAGCTACTTCCACACGTTGGGCCTTCAAGACCCTAGAGGCCCCAGGCTGAAGAAGCGTCACCAGTTACAGCTGTCCATTGCGAGGTGCTCAAAGACTGGCTCTTCTCTTTCTGCTCTTGCCACGGTGCAGCAAATCCCCTTGTCGGAAAATCGGCACCTTCTTGTCGACTTCGTAAGGGGACCATGCAGCACCTCGCAGCAGCTGCGACTACTGTTATCCCTCAAAAACACACCTCTTTCAAGACATCCAGTTCCAAAATGCATGACCAATCTCTCTGCTGTCCTGGAAGGCCTAATACCACATCAACTCTAGGAAAACAACTGCAGCAACATGCAACAACTGGCTGAAACGCACAAAGTTTGTCCGCGGCACTTGCTAGGTCGACGAGGAAAAAGCGCGTGCAAAGAATGCCTGCGGGGATTTCGGACGGCGTCATCTATGGTGCCCGAAACCGTCAAGGCTTCGGCATCTAGATCTGTCCTCCATCATACCCCCAACTCTTTTCCCAGCACCGAGCGTGGTGGTGGCAAGCATGAAAAGCTTACAACCTTTGGTGAACCCCCCAATCAGGATTTCGGGCTTTCTGCCGGTCGCGCGGAGCCAGGGGAGTTTGGCTTTATGCGTGCAAAATGCTAGTGAAGCTCCAGGCCCCTCTTTTCTGACCAGCCACCCGGAAATCACCCGGAACTCCGATGCCCCAACCAGAAGCCGTTTCAACGACAGCCTGCCTCCGCGCTGGCGAAGTGGCCGCACTACCTGGAAAGTTCGGGCGCGCATGCTCTGGTCAGTGCAAGCTGCTCTCGGCAGCCTCTTGGGGCAGCAGGCGCTCCCAAAGCTCGAAGAAGGACCTCGGCTTGATCTGGGGCTCACTTTGATGTGTGGGCGAAAAGGAGTGGCCTCTCGACAATTCTCTGGCTAGCTCTTTGAAATAAATGAATTCTCTGAAGCTGAAGGGTGTTGGGCCTGTGCACTCGGAATAACATTGAATCAGGATCCCTAAAATCTGGTGGGTGTGGCACCTATTTTGCTGCAGCTAACACTAGCTGCTAGCTGCAGTCTGGGAAGTTCCGACACCAGTCCTGTTCTGTTTGGGTGTCTCTTGGCTCGGCGGATGCACCAGAGCAGTCAAGGGAAGGACTGACGCTGGCCAACGGGCCGCCAAGCAGCCATCGGCCCTTGAGAAGATTAAGGCACCTGCCAAGTGTCGTATTGCTTTCTGTTCACATGTCATTGGGGGTATACCACATACAAACACTCTGTCACAAACAACGGCAACGTCGGCTTGCTAGCACGAGAGCGACAGGAAAGCACCATCCACAAGCATAGTGTGATCAATATGCATGAAACCAAGCAAACGAACCCACCTTCGCAAATAAGCGCGCCTGTCGGCAACTGCTTCCAACCCTGCTGGGCGCGGTGTCGACCCTCAGCACTAATCGGCTGTTGCAAGGAGCGAAAGGAGATCCCCTTCGATCCCTCCTGGGTTCCTCACGCGATTGAATCCGAGCTGCAACTCTGAAACTCATGCCCAAGCTTTTCCAGAATGTCTTGTGTTGTGGCTTAGGGCTCTGGATGCTAGTTGCCGTCAAGGCGCCGACGAGCACCTCACCTGGACGCTGCGATTTGCTGATTGCGGAGCTGCGATTGGATTTGCATCGGAGGACACAGCATGAACATGAGACAAAGCCGTAAGATCCCCGCATCGGCGACACATCGCCTCGCATTCAGCATCACCTGTGCTGCAAGAGCGAGAGAGAGACAGAGAGAGAGAGAGAGAGAGAGAGAGAGAGAGAGAGAGAGAGTGAGAGAGAGAGAGATAGGGGGTGCCAATGAAAGGAAGGCAGGCTGCCTGCCCAAGCCGAGCCGCCACGGCCCAAGAATTGCACTGCAGCCTGCAACCGGCTTCGCTGTGCTTCCCCTGCTTGTGAACCGTCTACAAAAGCTCGAGGTAACGTCTCTGAGCATTCAGCAGACCTTTGCTCGGTTTGCGTTCGGCACGGTACAGCTCGACCCACTTGTTTCTGCTTGAATCTGTCTGTATTATGTACGTGTGTGCTGCAGATCTGCAGATTCAGGGCAGTTATTCCATCATATTATGTATATGCAGGCAAGCGCATGTACGCACGAACAACGAACAGACATACCTGCTCCGGCAGTCGGAACTCATGTACAGTATTCGCTAATTCATGCATGAGAAGTTCCATCTCAGAATCTCAGGACTACGATGCATCCGGAAAACCAATCGTCATGGAAGCAAATGAAGGCGTATCGCGCGTATCGCCCCTGGGAACTCAGACTTCTCAGTCTCGGCCTTCAGAACCAGAAGTGCGCCCAGAGCTTCCTCGTCCTTGCCGGCTGGGATTTGAGTCCAGAGCTTCCGGCGGGACCAGAGTGCGATCTCAGTGTGAAAAACACAGAGATAGGAACCTGAGACATCCAGAAGCCCCTCTCCCAGCTTCAAGATGTGAAAGCCCGTGCTAAAGCCTTCAAGGCCCTAAACCTCACGCGGACTCGAAGCCAGTCTAGACCGGCGTAGCCGGGCCGCAATGCGGCTGCGCCTCGCTGCCGACCATGGCCAGGGCTGGGCCGGTCTCGCTGGCACCCGCCGCAGCGAGGAGAAATGCCTCCAGTCGAGAGCCCACGCAGTTCTTGCGGTGCGTTTTTAGGCAACCGGGCTACTCGAAGGTTCTGGCAAAAAGGCCTGCAAGCCTGCAAGCGCTTCTGGGGTCATTGGGGCCACATTGCGGTCGAAGAAATACGAACTCTCTGCAGGAATGTGCGCAACGCAACTGACGCCACTGCCCGCTGCCTCCCATCTTCGGTACATACGATGCACCTCTTAGACATATCAACCTGGGACAGCCGAAACAACGTGTGCAAAATACCATGACATAATCATGTCTGGCTCCAGGCCCTGCGAAAATCAGGCGAACCTCAAAACAACAACAAAACGTGCCTGGACACTTATTCAAGATCCGACGTCCTGCTCAACCCTAGCTTCATGGTCGCAAGAAGCAAGCTGGGGCATTACAAAGCAGAAACTGCATGTTTACAAGGCGCTTTACAGTTCATCGCAGATGCCAAAATTGAAGCATCCGCTCATTCACACCTCCATGTTGCCGACAATGACTTGATTAGCACTCAGCCAATAAGAGAAACCTTCTGCCGTCCGAGTGACTGTGATTTTGAACCCCCCCGACGGTAACCTCAATGCATACTGCGAGGCGAGCGGAAGGCATCCATGGGAATAAGACTTCCAAGGCATGGAGGCACGAAACGGAATCGCTGATGTCACTCGACTGCTTGGCACATCGTCCTTCAATGCCAGTTCTGCCACCGAAAACTGTCTGAATCTTACAGCCGCTTCTGTCAAGGACACAGGTCTGAGGGCGCCAAAATCGATCTGCTTTGAAAGAAACTGAAGGCTTCCAGAACGCTGAAACTTTGCGATGAGATGTCCCACCCTAGGCGGACAGCTACCATCACACAAAGAAACACGAATGGTCCAAGTCTGGGCGACCTGTGACAGGTCACCTGTCCGATGTGCCCGTAACAAAATCAAACACGCATTTTCCTCCTTACCCGGCCATGAGACTGCAGCGGGATCAATGCCTCAGCAAAGCCCAGTGGTGTCCTGTGCAGGACCCCCAAAATCAACGGCGGATGACGGCGGTAGCAAACAGTCGTCGCACTGTTGTCGCCGCAGTACTAGCTTTGGTGACAGTGTTGGACTGGTGGTGGTAGCAGTGATGATAGTTGGTGGTGGTAGCAGCAGCATCTGCATTGTCGGCACAAATTTTGCGGCTACCAGAGATCGCAAGCAAAAATGCTAAAACAACACAGTCATGCAGGCAGAACCGCAGCATTTTGAAAAGTAGCGAATGCGATAGTAACAGGTACTGCAACTGTTAATTCCTTATAGCCGCGGAAATGCACGGTACAAATCAATCATCACAACTTTCAGAAAAACGACTGCCATATCTGCTACTCCGAACAGTCAGACCACGGATGGCTGTGAGGAAAGAGACTATACAGGTAGCAGGATCAGTACAAGTGTCACAGTGAAGGGCCCAAGCCAGACTCTCTCAGCAATTACCACCAAGCTCTAATTACGAAAGGCTCGCACTTCAGAGGAAGCATGAGACTGCACTCCTCTCCGGTCTGCGCAGAGCGCGACAAGGCCAGGCAGGCGTCAAGACGTCAATCCGTCCCCTGCGAACACCAAGGAGCCAGGAAATATCTGGGAGTGGCCGGAACTCCGAGTGTATCTTCTGGGTTCTTGTTAAGGGATTCAACTTAAGTTACCATGATAAGGATCTATAACTATATAGTAAATAAAATGGTTTCCTTATTATGGTAACTTAAATTAAATCCCCTAACAAGACCCCTTTCTTTCTCACTGCCATGGCTGCCAAGGCCTCTGCCCTTTGAATTCTAGGCAGCTAAGGCCCTAAGGCCCGACTTTTTCAAACGCCACTCTTCTGTCTCGACCCTGGACTAGTCGCCCTAGAAGAGTACGAATCTGCAACTGAAGAAAGATGCACGAAAGAATCCGGAGATGATGAGGTCTTCTTGCTGCCGGAGCTCTCAGCTGGAAAGACCTTACTTGCATTTGGCTCCGACAACCATGTCGAGGCTGGAGTTGAAAGGGCTCAGGCCCAGGGGCGTACGAGTAGGAGCTGGTGGCGCGCAGCACCGGAGCCGGCGCCGTAGGATTAGCGAGCACCGGGGGTGCCTCGCATGGCTCCGAATTCATACATTTCATTAACTGCCCAAAAGCCTAAGGCAACAGCAGCGGGTCAGAAACCCTGCCAAGCAAGGGGTTTTCTGTGCCAGGACATGTGCAAAACACTTTCGAGGCTCTATGGTGGTTGCTGCGACTGCGGGCAGTAAGCACATGCGCAAAGCATGATGTTAAGTCTGACCGAGTTGGATATGAACAATCTATAACTGGTGGTCCCGGATTCACATTGTGGGCTGATGATTTGTCGTTCGAGTGCTGGTGCTGGTGGTCGCGATGGTGCCAGTGCCGGTGCCTGCCGCAGCTGCAGCTGGTAATTGCGTGTAGCGATCACTCATTTCAAAAACCAACTCTCCCGGCTGTAAGCCCAGACTGCATGCTGCTTTGGCTCGCACATGTTTAACTGGCGAAAGGTCAAACTTCTTGCTCGCAGAATAGTGGGAAGTTCTTACATGCGAGGTGCTTGTCGACCCAAACAGATTCTCCGAGGTTTGGGTTCTCGCGGAATTCTCGGCTGGATTCTCTGCAGTAAACTGGAGACATGCAACTCTATGAGCCAGCCCACACAGACAACGAACTGTCAATAAGTCTGCAGCACTGCAAACATGTACTGCCCAATGTTTAGCACCTGACACACGCGACATGACTATGTCACTTCAACAGGAAACGATCCTAACACACCGAGCCATCGATTCCGCCGTGCCGACCTTGAAGCCCTTCTTGCCGGATTTGCCCTGTTCGGGCTTGCAGGAGGATCAGGCTCACAAGTTTTCAGCACGAATCTGTTGGAAACAGGTCACTGACAATGTTCAACACAGAAAGCCTCTGGAAACAGCCACCTCTTGCTTCAGGACTAAATCCGGCCTTGAAGCCCTTTCGGCCGCCCTTCCCCTGCAGGGTGTAGCCGCATCAAAGCATTGCTTTGAGCATGTCACTTGCGAAGGCAATGGGTGAACAAGACAAGCCCGTCTTCGTAGCTGCAGCAGCGTGCATGCTCCTGCAAGAGGCCTTGCCGTACCCGGAGCCATAGGGCTCACCATGGCTGCGGGAAAACATAACGGGAGTGAGAGTGGAAATCTTCGAGCAGCTTAAGGCCTGGAGAGTCGGAGGGGTGTAACATCAGGCTTGGGGTTCAAGGGACAGGCTCAAGGTGAGCTGGATTTGCGAACAGCTGCGGCAAGATCTAATATGTCTAATCTGGAGCCTCTGGGGCTGAAAGCCTCGAAGACAAGTGACGTCGCAAATGTCAGTCAGGGCAAGCGCCCTCCAGCTCATCGGACTTGAGAGGTTGTTTCTTATGTGTAGGTACGAACATTTCGGGTTCTGGATACGAAAGCTTCATGCCCCAGCGGTGACTCACAGTCCTGCCGAGCATACAGCGCCAGCGAGTTTTTTACTCCTGCGACAGATGCATCGCATCTTGAGGCTCAGCAATAACTCAATGGCATGCCCATGCTTCATAATTTTATGTCTTTCGGTTAGAATCTCGTATTGCCATATGCATCGGTCTGCAGAAATGCCAAAAGAGTGAAATTTACGTAATTACGAAAGAGAGGGGCGCCTTAGATTCCTTAGATGCCTGGCTTCTCGATTGCGATGTTGAAGGCAAACACTGTTGAGCTGTAGATAAAGTTTTACGACGAAGGTTGGTTGCTTCGCACCTCAGCCTCCGCGCCTGGCCCAGCAAGCACGCTTTTTGCAAAGAAGTTATTCATCATCGTCTCACGATCGCGTCCCAAGCAGTGCGCCGAACTTGCCTGACTCCACGTCGCTTTCGGATCAAAGTTGGCACTCAACAAGGCCACGCGCAAAGTGCCACCGCTCCTCTCCCCCAGCTGCATCAAGCGCCGTGCGCGCTGTGCATACATTTGCTCCGTCATATTGCCGCGTCTCACATTGTGTTTCCAGTGTGAAACATGACTGGCCACGCGTAACGACAAGCACGTGTCCTGCAAGGGCAGTCCGAAAGATGCAGAATCCTGTAAAGCCCAAGCGAATTCATCATGGTGGAAGTGATACAGAAAGACGGGGAACGAGCTTTGAGGTCCTTCAGATTCCGATATATAGCCATAGGATCGACCATGAACCAAAGCAGCTTCTTCGATCGCTACACGCCAGGAATAATATGATTCTAGGAAGCTGGATTCTTTAAACGTCGCTTGAACGAACTCACGGAAGTGCTGCAAATGGGCAGGTCGAACCAACTGGGGGAAGGTGTCCATGAACTCGCCCACCCAGTCCAAGCCTAAAGACATCGTCTCCATTGAGTTCATCTGTGTTCGACGTGCAAACATTACAGGCAATCCATGCGGCATCAGGAGCTCTTCCACTTGCGGCGTGTGGATCACCACGTCCGCATCAAACCAAGCCACCCAGTCGGGTGGGTCGACGTGCTCCGCGATGTACAGATCGGAAAGCCAATAGTGGTACTGTAGAAGCTGTGTGCGATATCTTTGGCTCACAGAGCGTCCACTCCATTCGATGGAGTCGATGGCAGAACCCCGCCGCGGAAGGCTTGGAGCATAAATGCAAATCACTCTGGGCGAAACCTCAGCACACATGCGGCGATCTTCCGTGCTGTCGTCCACGGCCATGAATATCTTGGACTTCCACTTTTGGGGCCAGAAACGCTCCACCGACTCCACAAAAGGGAGAACTGCAAAGCGATCTCCATGGAAGCTTTGCAGAAAGATGTGTACGGAGATATCATGATCCAAGGAAGCATGCCGCAATGCCGGGCTTACACTACCAGCAGGAGGATGTGCCAGATATCGCCCACAACAGTGTTCAACTATGTCATCTACCACATCCCCGAAACACCATGTGAGGCGCTCTATTGTGATGTGTCGATCACAGCAGATCTGGGGTACGTATCCGCCACCCCAGCAGGGAGAATGTTCCGGAACAAAAGCCGTGTGATAGAAGTAGCTGCCAAGCGTCCACAGATTCAGGGGCGGACGATCAAAAAAACCCAACTGCATGCTGAGGTCAGCCATGAAGAAACTGGTCTCCAGCGGTCGTGCTTGATACGAGTACAACTGCAAGCTGTCTTGAATGGTTGGCGGATCTGCAGCAAACTCGGCCAGAATATCTTCAAACCTCTGGCTTCGGTTGAAAAAGAACTGTTTCCCGGCCAGCAATGGCATGGTGAAAAACCTTCCGGCACCACCATGCCAAAGGCTTCGTTCCATCTGCAAAGCCTGGTACGTCGCCTCCACGGATCGACGGCAGTTGGCGACAAGCCGGCCGATCTTGCTCAACTTGACGGGTTGCTGGCATTTGCACAGGGTCCAACAGCCTTGACCCAAACGCAGGAAGGCCAGCAAGTGTGAGTTGTAGTCGTTCCAGTAGATATGACGACCGTTGAAGCGCCAGGGATGCAAGTTTCGGTACTGACCCAGCGTGATCTGAACATTTGGATGCAATGTCTGGGAAGACCACAGACGGATATCCAAGTTTCCCAGTGCGTTGGCCATCGAGGCATCGGCAGAAATTGCACTGGTGCTATGACTACGATTCATTCTAACGGCGACTGGGATGCAAGAGGATTGAGTCAACTTCCTTCGCATGCGTTGGTGACCGACTGCAACAGAACTTCTCTACATCTTCTCTGGTTTGAGCTACGGTCTGGGAGGTGGTAAACAATATCCAGAGAAAGTAGTGCCCGGGAATGGAGAGAAGCAAGAAGCAGCACAGGGAACCAGAGAAGACAGGAAGGGAGGGGACTTTGCAAGCGCCGCAACCATCCGGTACTGTCGGAAGAGTTCCACAAACCCAAATCTTTGCCACCTTTCATGCGAGACAGAAGCTCCATCGCGCCTTGAAGGCTTCGCAGTGACCAGCATGTCGCGCGATGTGGGTTGGGAACCCGCCCGAAGCTTCGAAAATAGATTCTCGCTCAGCAGGTCAAGTCGGGGTCAGGGATGGACATTAACAAATGTGGGGATGAAGATGCAGGCCGAAACTCTATTCTCCACATGCCCCATCTTCAGGGGGTGCTTATGTTAGACTTCGTGCATTATCTGCACCTACACATCATGGGCTAGATTTTGTGTGGCTCTGCAAAGCTTGAGCTCTGCCTTTAGGGCAGGTGGCGACGTGGTCAATCTCTTGCCGATCGCACACTGTAGAGTTTGTCATCATCCCCTGAGCTGCCCAGGCACCCAACACTCTGTCCATCCTCACGACCGACTACTCGGATATCCAGAACCCGTCTCAATACTTCCAGAATGCCATCGAAGAACATGCGCCTGCCACAGTGGTAGTGGATGTATTGACACCACTAGCCTCGAAAATGCGGATGTCGGAACTGGTGGCTATACTGCGGCTATACACTAGTCGATCCAGAAGTCGGGCGCTTTGCGTCAACGGCGAGAAAACCTAGTCTACCGGACCTGAGGGCTTGTGTCCCAACAGCGGGGACCGTAGTTTTGGCTTTGGCCATCCTGTCCTGAGGGTCCCGGCAGAACGCCACATGGAGCGAGGGCCGTGCGGACATTTCGCAGTGCGCTGAGCACCAGCGCCACCCTCAATAAGACCATCACTGAGTGGCTGCAGAGGCCCCATACAAGGAAGGTCAGCGGTCGTTACAGCGTTGCCAAGCAACATGACAAAGCATGCCAAAAGCTCAGGCAGAGGCTCCCCGCAAAGAAGATAATCCAAGGTTCCTTTGTCCACGGCCTTGCTCAAGCCATGGTCAGGGCGCAGCAGAGTCAAACTCAAGATCTCCCTTTTGCCATGGCCCAAATCTCCAGCGGAACCACCCTGAGTGCTTTTTGGTGGTTGCGATCTAGGCACGTCAAGCTCTCGACTCGTAAAACCGAAAACCCTGGCAGTTCAAGCTCCCAGCCGTGACATCTCGAAGGAGCCTTTGGCACCCCGGTCACATCGAGAAGCCAGGGCCGCAGCCAAGTCGAATGCATTTTCGTCCAGGTCCGTCCTCTTGTTCGCGGCTTTGGGCTTCGAGACTTACATGCCGTTCAGGATGTGCCTTAGGGGCGCTTTCTTTACCTTTGCTGATGCTATGCTTCGTCAATTTTGCTGACATAGTCCGTGCACCCCAATCCCTAAATGATTCTGCATGCCTACAATCACTAAGACCTCCAAAATTCGAAGCTGTGCGGAGTTCAAGCGGCACCTGACATGCACGAAACAACACAGGAAACCCTGAGATTGCACACCTCGACATCTCACCGTACAGCTTTCCTCACCTCTCCGCAGTGATGTTCACCACGCCCCAAGACAGGCCTCCGTAACTTCAGGCTCATGCTTGACACGGGGTTTGCCAGAGGCTGTCAGTCTGAATGGCATGGGAAAACACAGGCAACAGATTGCGAAATCTCTTTCCGGTTCCTCCTGGCTTGTTGGGGGTCGATTCTGGGTGCCTCAGCTCCCAACCTATGCAGTCAGCGTGCTCTGCCTCCATCGCTTGGATGACATCCTGTAGAGACGCGTTTCGTGACACGGACCGATTGCAGCGAGGAGAGCGTTTTACACATGCTCAGCCTTCCCGAAAGGCCTTTGCCGATGAACAGACAGCATGTACGATTTAGGCAGCCCGACTTTGAGCCCCCCCTGCTCCAGTTGCTCCTGGTCGATGTCCACCGCGTGCACCCTGTCCGCATTCGACATGAAACAACATGCGTGCGATCCGAAAGCAGTATTGCGAACGTTGTGGTTCAGAAACGTTTCGACTCAGTTTCGACCGTTTTCCGAGCTCTAACACAACACAACAATCAACTTCTCAATTGCAGCACCAGCCCTCTGCACAACTCAGTCGCAGAAAGCGTGCTCAAAGCTCCAATGCTGGCTTTGTGCTGTGCTGTGCACCTGCAGCCCTTGGACCAGATATCCTTGGCCAGGCTGGACGTCCCGCAGCCCACGTCCAACCTGAGCTTGGGCTCTGGAGCTTCCGAGCCACAGCGGCTAGGCCAAGGACCCCACGCATAAAAAACGCCTGCAGGCCTCGAGGTATCTCGACTGGGACCAGCAGGGAGTCACAGCTATAGTATGTCCTGAAAGTACCGAGACAAGACACGAATCTGCATGCCAAGTGACACGCGGAGGCTGGCGTCCTGCATCAGGATGCTCGAGCCGACCATGGAGCAAAGGGAGGGCAGGTGCTTGTTGCCGTCCCACGTCAATGATAGTAACTGAGTCAAGGTATGTACAAACAGTAACTCCGACAAGGCTACTGTGTGGAAACTCTCTCGAAGGCGTCCTGCACCACACCATGTTGCCGTGCAAGCTCTGCCGCCTGCCGCAGTGTTCGTCGCGCTTCGGAGCAGCAGTCTCAAAACATCCACAAGATTCCACAAGTGCAGGGCGTACGTGGAGCTTGTGCTTCATCAAAGCGTACTGGCATCCAAAGCCAGTCAGGCAGTCAATCAGCTTATGAGACCTGGGGAACTCGCTGGGATCGACTTTTGATAACACACTGCTGCAGGTTTTGCACGGCTCGAGTCTACGACGGCAAACTTGCTGCTCGACAGCGTCCCAACAGCGACTCTAGTCACTAGTGAGTCGCTTTTTGGATGTTAACAACTGCCACGACTCCTTGATAGTGCTAGTGCCGGTGCTGCAACCAAAAACGAAGCAAACAGCGGCTGAAGCTGCATTGCTGCCACAGACCCTCAACACTGGCTGCCTTCTGTTCTACACAAGTGCGAAGCCCGAAGCCCTCGAAACGGCTTGATCGGACAGCCTCTTCCGCAGGCCGCGCCTCTTCCAGAATCGGGTGCAGCTTGTCATAGCCTTCACACCAGTCCTCAACAGTCTGGTGCGTTTAAAGCATGGTGGGCTTGGTGAGTGTAGGGACTTGGCGCAGATTCTCTTACAGTAGCCTTTAAGTCTGGTGTTGTTTGTCGTCTAAACTGAGAAAGGATCCAGGTGCTACCTAGGTACAGAGCTCAAGCCGCGTAATAGGCTAAGCCTCGGCTGCGGTAGATGTTCTCCGAGAAACCCTATCTAAAATGGATGCCTTGGCAGTGCCGTCACACTGATCTTGTACGATGGTGTGGTAAGACTTTTTTCAGGAAGTGCCATACCGCTTTGATTTTGATGATGACAGCATGGTCGAAGGCAGAGAAACCACAAGTGCTGAAAGGCATTGGGCGGGGATGTTGGGACGGGCGAGGGGTGCAGACGAGCTGCGAACATCTGGCGGACGACAAAGAACGCGAACGGCCCATGCTTTCCCAGGTGCTCGGTGCAGAAGGTCAAGGTGCTGAATCCCAATTGCTGCTGTGCCCGTGCAAGTAGCTCATCAGTCCAACAAGAGGGGACTCAACTTCGAACCAAAGGGTTTTCGACCTTGGCAAGCCTTTTCAATTGAGGCTACGAGGACCTAACCTACATTCAACGTGGTCGCCGATCTGCACTGATGATCTGGCGATGCACGATCAAGCTTTGGAGCCATGTGCCCAGCCAGCGATGCATATCCGGTCTTGGCCCCAAGAAGTCACGGCAAAGGCTGCTCTCCCAATCTGAACCTTCCATTGCCGCAAGTCCCTTAAACCCAACTTGGCGACACAGCAATTCAGTTCCAGTTCAAGACAAAGGTGACGGCTAATCTCAACTCCATGTTTGAACACTGCCCACGACACTAAGCGGCCTTGCATTAAGCGTCAAGAGCCGTGTCCTTGCTGTAAATCCTGCAACATGCCAACAGACGGAGTCCACCAAATCACCACCGTGACAGTTCGTGTTCTCCACCAGCATCGAAACTCGACATGTCCAAAACCCTGCTGCCAATACGTCAAACATGCACACTCCGGCTCCGGAACATGTCTGCCATCTGTCACGCTTTGCTCTCCGCCAGGAAAATACGAGACATGCCACTGTGTCATCCCTCTGCCGCAGTTAGGTGGTTTGCAAGGCCGCTTTATTCTTTTGATCTTTGCTGATACTGTGGTTCGGAGCTCAGAGCTTGCGCAGCCTTTCCAACCGCCGGCGCTGTGCATGCGTGTGCAGGCGAGCGTTTCTAGTGACTAGCAGGACCTGGCAAAAGCCAGAAGCTAATGTCCTCTCCTGGCAAATCGCTTCTGCACTTGCACTGAGCACCCAAAGCTAAGTCGTGTATATGCTTGAATCATTGAGTACGACACGGTGGAAACCAGAACAGCAATTCCCATCGATAGCAGATGGTATAAAGGATTCCGAGGAAATCGGCAATTCCGAGACATTGCCCGAGGCTGAACAGCCCACTCAACTCCATAACAGCAACTGGAGAAGTGGTTCAGAGGAGCAGACGCGTGTAATTCTGACAGTACTTCGCTCAAACGCTCACCTGCACCGAGTTGCTGGTATTAGTTTTCCGGACTGCGGTCATTCACCAGTGGGCTCAAAGGCAGGAGATAACTCCAACGACCTTGGTGCGAAAGAGTATGCAGTGATGCAGACTGTACCGAGACTGTATGACAACGTCATGGCCAGAGGCCAGCCAGAGTTGTCAGCCTACCGAGCAGCACAGGCTAGAAAAATGAGGAGACACAGAGCTAGAGACGCCTCACAGAACCTCCGGATCCGGAAATCATCTCCTCAAGGCTCCATTGAGGCAACGG